CAATTGGACAGACAATGAATTTTATCCTTTTATTGGCATTGGATGGGAAGGAGTTACCTTATTATTCAAGGTACGTTCCTTGTCTTCTTGAAACTGGGTAAAATTCTCTTTTGTTGGTTTTCGATCAGTTTCTGGAGATTAAAAAAACGAACAGCTTGTCGGCAGTATATCGGAAATTTATTTTTATTGACGTTTCATCTGCCAGCGGCATCACGCAGCAGAAGTAAAAGTACCGTGGGCCACGTCGGTGGTTTGGCAATTATATTTACAGATCAAACATTGTGAATATACTGTAAAATCAATTTACAAATCATTTTAATTACAAATAGTTTATAGAAGATTAAATTATCTTGTCTGTAAATTTAAAAATTTACAGACTCCTGTAAATTGATGAACTTTTCCAGTGTACTGCGTGCTTAACCAGATTTGACACTTTACTCTACCATTTTCACCTTAGAGAGTTGTATCCAGTCCCAAAGTGTATGGAATCAAGCAATAATCCAGTTTCGAATTCTCCAATGCTCTGTGTGTTACCCTCATTTGTGCGCAAAATATTCCTAATTGTGAGAATAAAAGTGTGAGATTTCAAATCAATTCTATTGTCTTTCTTTTCAAATTCCATGCGTTTTCTCGGCCTATCATGAAGCAAAATAATATTTTGCTTATGGTTTTGAGGCTAACACAGAGCAAAACAGAACTCGAAAACGGAGTATTGATCACCACGTTATGTGTCATACCGTGATTCAGATCGAGTCTTATTGAGGATCAGACTGAGTACATAACCAAGTGTCCATCTCATCACCATCACATGTTTTAGACAACCAATCATAACGCGCGCACATATAACACGGCAACTGATTGGTCCTTAATTGTTGACTCTACTTCGAGAGCAAACAAGAAAAAAGAAAGTGTTGTCGATGGAGGCCTGAACAAAATGAATCTTGTATACTTGTAATCTTGTAATGCAAGCTTAATTTTCATTTCTTTTCCGCTCTTGAAAAAGTATCAACAAGGACCAATCAGGTGCCGTGTTATGTGTGCGTGCGTTGTGATTGGTTGTCTAAAAATAGATTATCGGGACATCTGATGGTGATGAGATTATTACCGAGATGGACACTTCTGTTGCGTAATCGCTTGGAGGTTGACTTTATTTCTCTTCACTAATTTATCTCGAACTATTCCAAAGTTTTGTATAGTGTATTGTGAGTGTATTGTGCAAGATTCATTTGCAAATTATTATTTTTTTCTCTGACTTTAAGCTCATACCTCAGGAAGTCCAGGAAGACAGTCGTTCTTGTAAGAGAGACGGCTCAGCACAGGAAGATTATTCAGCTCTAATACGTGGTATAAATGATTTACATGACAAACTATCGGGTCTTGGATATCTTCAAATGAGAGTGGATGAGTTATCATCTGATCTCAGTAAGAGAGACGATTCAGCACAGAAAGATTTTTCAGCTCTAATACGTGGGAACAATGATTTATACGACAAACTATCAGGTCTTGGATGTCTTCAAATGAGAGTGGATGAGTTATCATCTGACCTCAGGGACATGAAAGATGACTTAAAGTTTTTGAAGGAGAGGATCCTGCAAGAATGAGCAAAATGAATTGCCAGTGAACACTTTGCTGATAATAAGAGGGTCTCAATGGGGYTAACCGTGAGTTGTGAAACGGCTGAAAAATTAGCCGTGAGTCGTGAAAATGCCAAATTGAGTCGTGGTGCGACCCATTGAGACCCTCTGATAAGCTCATTTTGTCGTTGCTAATTGTCCTATTTCATTATGGCGTCACATGAAACATTCTATTGTTTTAACACTAATGATTCTGATCGTCATGGGGGGGATTGTTAAAGTGATTGCATATCCAACACGATACATTACAGTTCTCCATTCCGAGAAAATATGAATTTGACCAAATATCCACTCTTTTTGAGCATCTCTTCCCGATGCTACTGTGACGTCATACTGAGATTGTGCCTGTGAGAACATTTTGTATCTATTTTGGGATTTGTTGTATAATGGCTGATAGTTCATCATAAGAAAACTACGACAATATTTAAGTGAATTCTACGCAGAAATCGGTTTCTCAACAAATAAATAAATAAATAAACAAACAAATAAATAGCAAATGAATTACTAAATACTGACAACGGATTAAAAGTGCAATAATCACTGAATGCTATATCAAAATTTCAGGACGTTTTGACTAAATAATTTTGCGAAGCGAGCGAGCTAAAAAGTATAAAATTTGCGTTTGATYATTAGTTGTGATCCACCTTAAAGTCCGATATAGGCCAAAGGTCAGCTGTTTATACGAATTATTAGATTGATATTTTAACAGGGGACTAAGAGACATACACGACATAACCCAACTCTACATGTAGGTTATACTAATTAATCATGACGTTAGGTTTTGTTAATAATTCTTGTATAATTTAAGTAATAAAAACATTTAAAAAGGTATCAAAATATGTGTCGAAATTTATGTTCCTTGACAAATACAATATAGTTGTACCGTTATTGTTCTCAGTGGTGTCATGTAGCGTGGTAATTTTGTCAAGCACGTTTGTACGACCTTAACAAAGCTTGGAAAATTTAGCATTTTACATGACTTCAAAACAATAAAATTCGCACTGTTGTTGTTTTTGGATAAAATTTAAATAGACGACTTTCGAGGATTTCTTGCTGAATGCTCACGCACAAAAGAACAGGCTGAGTCTTCGACGAAACAT